AGAAAAAAATAGTAATTCAGGGACGCTCACTGGGCTTGCAATTACTTTGTAAAATGTGCACACAAATGCACTGGAATGGGACCCTCAGTGTGATCGCTACTGGAAATGTTGGATCATGGTATGCGCGTGGGACTGCCTGCTATCACCTTGCATCACCACCAGCCTCTTCTAAGGTTTTCTCCACAGCTCAGAGGAGGAACTGGAAATTGCATTTCTGAGACTTCCCTTGGTACATGGTTCTAGGTTAGAATGAGCCAAAGAGAGACACTTTGGAGTACGACTTGGAAATCCAGAGAGAAAGAGAAACAGGGCAATGCCTGGGTAGTTCTGTTGTTTGAAGCAGTGTCCACCTGGCCGCTGCAGATAGAGAACATCAGTAGTAGATTCCCAGGTGTTCCTGAGATGTGCAGAAACTTCAGCCAGCTCTCGAGAATCACCAGCCTCCGTGAGAGACTGAGACTCTGGGTGGGGTCCTCCCTGACTGGACCAGCCTCTCTCTCATTCCTTACATTAAACCCCTTTATCATGTGAATACATAGTGGGCCTTCTATTTTCCCTATCTGAATTCAGACGGATGTCATAGTATCTACCCCTTTGGTTTTTCAAACTGTCTCTCTTCTTGAATTTATAGATTTTTAATTTAAAAGAAGGGATGGAAGGAGAGTAACAGACAATTCTTTGAAGAGGCAAGGATGTTATACTTAGCTGCAGACTTAGCACAGGCTGTAGAAATGCACCCCTGGCAGTGGACATTTCCAGGCCATTTCTCTGCTTGTAATTCCTTCTTCCCTCTAGCACAATGCCACAGTCAGTCCTGCATTTGCTTCATGTCCTGTGCGAAGGACAAATGTCATGGGTGGCCTGGGAATCAAGGACACAGAACTCGGACTTTTTTTTCCCTTGCCTCTGTCACTGAGTGGCTCAGTCTCCCCGAGCAATTTTTGGTGCTTTCCTCTGTTAAATGGCAATAATAATATTTACCCTCCTTCCTTTATAGGGTTGTCTTGAGGATAATATGGTCAACTCACTAAATAGAAATGTCTTCCCCAAAAGACACAATGGTCTACATAAATGCAAATTCCATTTCTAACAGCTACCAGAGAGAGTAGCAATACCTGATATGCAGGTATATGTCCATGCACATAACATATTTAAAGAAACATTTCTCGAACAAACACTCCAACACTCCTCCTAATGTGGATACCCACAACCCACAGACGATACAGTAAGCAGACTGCCACTAGGTAATAACTGGGATTCCTGACACAGCCCCACGGCCTCTGTAGACTCCAAAGACATGTTTAGACCTCGAGAAGAATTCCCAGAGAGATTTCAGGTGCACCATTCTAAAACCACATCTATACCACAGCCTGCATCTTATGGTGCATCCAGGCCCTTCTTTGAGAGCTTCTGTTACTAGTAAAATAATTCCACTAGTTGCTTCAGTTCATCCTATTTCCTTCTTACCATCAAAACACCAGAGTTTGGAAACTATGACGTTAAAATTATTATCTATTTGGAAGTTATACAATGTGGCTAAATGTTGTATGAAAATGAATCAATACATATGGCCCCAACTGCGATGATTTGGGTTTGTGAAAGCAACAGAGTTGAGGTCTGAGGTCCACAAGGCTGGCCTTTCCTTCCCCTATCACCTACTCCCAAAGGAAGATGGGTCTTCTTTCCAGACACAATGAAGTTATCTCACATATCTAAATTACTGACTTCCCCCTGGGTTTCTACCATTCATCATTTACTGAACAAATATTTATCGCACTCCTATTAAGCAGAAGGCCCTGTGCCAGGCATTGCAGGTATAGTAGTGAGCAAATAGACACCATCTCCTCCATTGCCTCCAACAGCTTATAGACTGTCCGGGAAGACACTGGGGAAAAAGCCTGAAAAATGAACACTGACCCAATATAAATGTGTGGGGTGAGATCAGAAAAGTCTTCCTTACAGCTGTGATAGTTACGCTGATACCTGGGGGATGAGCAGCAGTCAGTGATGTGCAAGAGAAGAAAGATGAGAATCTGTACCACCTTCAGGGAGCTTTCATTTGTAAAGAGTTCAAGACCTACATATACTTGACCTCTTTCACACAAAACAGAACATAAAAAATTGCACTAAGGAGATAGAAACAAATATTCTAAGTACCTCAGAAAGGGGAAAAATCAATATAGAAAAAAATTCATACAAGAAGCAAAAAGTACTGTGCATTACTATCCCTATAATGCATAGATTAACTATAAATTACAGAGGGAAAAATAGAGTCCCCCATCTCCTGATAATTATTCTGGGCCCAGATTTCCTTTACATTTGAATCTACAGTCCTTAGGACATGAATCTTGGGTCTATCATACTCGACATTGGAAGTAACATAAAAGGACAAGTAAAGGGAAAATGGCATGTATAGAAAAAAATACCAATTTGCACATGAACTACTGCTCACCAGTTTATGTAGTTGTTGGTGTGGAATGAAAAGAGATTGAGAACTGGATGAATCAAAAATTATTTGCAAATATAACTTCCACTTCAGATTTTTTAGACCAAGTTTCAGACATCATGGAGGATTTCATTTGGGCAAGAACTGATGTAATTTGCCTTCGCAACGTGAAAGAGCCTCTCTGGACAAACATTTGTAAGCAGTTTCCATAAAGGTATTAACAAATGATAAACAAATAGTTTGGTGACTTATATGATCAAAAATTTATAATAATTTCTTTAACTTAAATATAAAAAAACAAGGTGGCACTGGGGTGCCTGGGTGGCTCAGTCAGTCGAGCATCCAACTCTTGTTTTCAACTCAGGTCATGATCTCATGGATCGTAAGATGGAGCCTGCATTGGGTTCCTCACTCAGCAGTTGAAGATTCTCTCCCTCTGCCCCTCTCCCCACTTATGTGCACTCTTTCTTTCTCTCTCTAAAATAAATAAATATATCTTTTAAAAAAAGGTGGCATTAAGTGGTTTCATTCTGGGTGCCTAAAAATCAGGTTTTTACCACTTGTTATCATATGATTCAGGCCAAGCTAAAATAGATCAGTGTCATCTCTTCCCTACATGGATCAGTCCTATAATAATTCAACCTTAATGAGATTCTTTGGCTCTCTCTTTAGTGGTGTCCACATGACCACAGGCCCAAAGACCTACCTGCCATTTCATGATGCTGACTTGCCTTTTTTCACTACCAGGTGCTTAGCATTGCTCAAACAACCAGAGCATTAAACTTATAGGCACATTCCTCAGTAAAATTGAGATATCTGTTGCTGGGTCCTCTCAACAACAATGTTCCCATTGATGCTGGGCTCTGACGTCATTGAAGAGCACTTGTTTTAACTCTAAACACCTTGGGCATTTTTCCATATTCCAAATATTACTCAACATACCTTCAAAACTTGTATTCTTAAATTCCATTTCTTTAAGGTTCAGATTTCTTATTTTACCATTACAGTGACAAATGATCTTTGTCCTATTATGGAGGATTATCATTGATCTGATCATGTCCTTCTATTGTGAAATCTCAATTTCATGGCTAGATCAACTTTTATAAGTAGGCTTAAGGGCTATGAGCTTTCAGTTCCTATGTAGAGTACTCAATGGGCTATAGACTAAAAATACCTTTATTCAAATATAAGAAACCAATAAATAAATCCATGAGGATATAATGCTAGAGTTAATTCATTATTCTGTCTAGATATGCTATTATTATTTACCTAGGGGAACTCCCCTTCCCTCTCAAAAAAAAAAGTCTCTAAAGGAATATGTTTGACACTTCCATAAGGACATTCAGCGAAGGAAATCTATACACGCCCCTCAAAATATGGCATGTTGGCAGCTATTTGTTCTACCTGCCTTTGAGCAAAGTTGATTTTCACAAAACTGACACTTAGTGAACAGAATCATAATTGAACCAAAATATATGTAAATGGAGAAAAGTTCTACTGTTCCCAGACATCAAATAGGCAACACAGGTACAAGTCACAGACACCTGGAATCCTGCATTATAATCTTGACCATTTCCTGCAGAAGAAGAGAGGGCCATTTGCCCAGAGCCCACATGTCTTCTCAGAGTGCCAACTTCACCACTTTCTGGGCCTCTCTACAGCCTTAGTTGCCACCCACCCAGCCTACAATGTACCTGGGATGACAGACCTGGAACAGTACTTATTCAGTGTTCCCTAACTGTATGAGAGGAATTTCCTGCTTGGAGAAATGCTATTTAAAGTATGGAATGCCCTCAAACGAAGCCTGTTCTTACTTACCATTGGAGGGTAGATTCACAATTAAGAAATGTGGCTGTCGGAACCAGGATAAAATGGGGTAAACAAGTTTTACTGTAGGGCCTCTTCCCGTCCCTCCAGTTCCGACAAAGGTGACCATACAGTCCTTGGTCTAAGCAACCAGCTTAGGGACAAGGCAATTTTAAATTATATTCCATGCAGACTCCAGAGATGACAATAGGAATTCAAGGCTTTGGAAACACTGGGTAAACCAAATTAATGTTTTGGGATCAGATAATTTAAGGAAAACTGTGCACCAACTCTCTGCCATGTTGCTAGGCAAACTGGAATTTCTTTTAGCTTAATGTAGAGTTCATTCATTTTGAAATTACAGATTTCAACTACTCTACTCCCCAAACAATGATACTTTTACAAATATTAGTGAGTTTCCCAATTCTCTCCATCACTTTTGCTGCAGGTAATGATCTACTTAGTAATTTTTAAGTATTATAATCTCTTTACTTAAAGCAAAAAATAAATCAAATCACAAAATTATATTAGAGCATGGATTTATTTGCCTTCCCAGCAGACTGCCACTAAATTCTGTTTAATATGAGTTAAAATCGCTAGGTTTGACAGGTATGGTTTTCTCATCAAGGACTTGAAAAGCACTGTGTTCCTTCTAAAGTGCCGAGGCAGCAATAATGAACCCAGAGCTCTGCACAGCCAAGTGTCCCTCCCTGCAACCACTAAGAGCAATAAAAAGCCAAGTTCCTACCTCGATGATTGGTGAGATCCCTGGAAGCAGAAGGCAGGGGTGTATAGTGGTGCACTGGAGAGGCCGTGATGCAGTCACTGGAAGCCTGTGTAATAAAAGAAAATGTCAACATGAAGTAACACCAAACACTAAATACCTTCATTTACCAAACATGCCTCCTAGGGATCTGGGCCTGGAAGAAATATTATCAACCAAGAGTCTTAGGAAGCAAGAGTTGTCTGTGCTGAGATAATTTTCTGCTGAGTGTAGGGTAGCATACAAAGCTTTGAGGAGCCTTGGTACAGGTGGAAGGGCCCTGAGACAAGGGAACCCCTTGTTTATTTCCTGAACTGAAAGGAGGAGGAAGAAGAAGGGAAAGAGGGTGAAGGCCAGAAATGATATAGAGCTAGATTTCTGTCACCTGCCTTCTTCCAGTACTTCCCACAGATTAAATGTTCACTATGAAATTTCTCTGGAAACCAGTGAGGACGCTGAGCTTTGCCCCAGAGTGGATGGGGAAAAATGGGGCTGGTTTGTGTGGGCCCCGTGGCACTGAGACACACCGAAGCTGAGGGCTCAGCAGCAGGAAGTGACCGTACTGAAGGATATAAACCATTGCGCACCTTGCAGTTGGGGTTCTGGCTAAGTTTAACAATAACACTGAAAAACTCATCTGAAATTTGGGATATAATGGTCATCAATAAAATTTTGCCATTCCAAGACTTAAAAGAAAATGGTATGAAATGTATTTTGAAGATGATTTTTTATTGTACACAAACAGCTCTTTAACCATCAAACTGTATATAGTGTGACCCATATGTGTAAGTGGTGCTATCTTTCTCTCTCTCTAGCTCTACAACTATGGGGATGAGGCCAGGAACAGAGGACTACAGCTGTCGGGTCAGCTGTCCCTCAGAACCAATGACCGGTCTGTCACATTCAGAGTGTGGCTGCTTATAGCAAAAAGCATCACCACTGCAATTCTTACTGAGACTTCTGAATCAAATACTTTTTTTTTTTTTTTTAATATCCAAAAAAGAACATCTGCTAGGATCAAAATCCTAAGCTTACAACCTTTCCAAGCTTCAAGAAAAAGTAAATTTCATTAATGCTACATTTTTCTTTCTGGAATAGGAAATACATTCTATGGGATATATTTGCCCTGCTAGGAGGAGGCCTTTTCTCCAAAGAGATTATCTACATTATAGGAATCAAAACTAAGTAGGAGATTAGACCTACTTGCTAGAAAAACCCTTTAAACACTGCTTCTGACATTTGAGATGTTTGATTAAGCGGCTTTCAGTGGAGACTTATAGAAAGAGTTCTGAATGGGGCAGAATCAGAAGCTCTGTCCCTAAGGTAGAGACAGATTTCAGGTAGCATTACTTCACTCCAGCTCGAAGGGAAATATGTGGTGTTTAAAGCTTGATCCAAGCGTATTGGGTCCAGAAAGATAAAAGTTCAGTCACTAAGAAAAATGTTTTAAAAAGTAGACAAGATTTGCTACATACTACATCATTAGATATTTAGGATACTGCAAGAACACAAAAGAGTCAGAAATTAGATTAAATTTCAAATACTAGAGTCACCACATGTCCCTCCATTTGGCAGTCAGGGTCTCCTGTAATCCCCACGTGATAAATGAGACACAGTGACAGTCTTCTAAATATGGCACCTATTCGATGCTTGAGGCAGCATATATGGGGCAAAGTCATAGGGGCCATCCTTCCATAGATCTACCATACTTCCTTAGTAAAAGGCCATAGTTTCTCTGTCAATGTTTCTATTCCATCTCAATGCTAAAAAGGCCTACAATTCCACTATAAGTTTTAGGTTGCTATACTGTGATATTTCTTAGTGCATTTAATTTCAATTTGGGCTGTTGACAATTTGATGACAGCTTTTCCTAAAATTACTGGAAGAAACTACCTTTCAGCAAATACCTCTGACTGGGCAAAACATTAGAGCTTTATAACCCAGAGTAAAATAGCTATTTACCTTTATTTCCAGGTGTAGTCAAAGCAAAACTGGTATGGCCCGAGTTCTGTTTTGCAGTCATCATTCTATGCCTAACGTCCAATTACTTTTCGGCTCGGTGTCCATTTATAAACTTGAGTCATGAAAACGAATCCAGGAAAAGAACAATTTTGCAAACGGTGCCTTTCAGTGGAACATCTATGGCTGGATGTTTAGGGAAACTACTACAAATTAAGATTCTAACTACCAGTTCTTTGACTTGGCTCTTATCAAAATGAAGTCCATGTGATCTTTTCAATTTGTTCTCCGAATATTATGTTTGCAGGCACAATTAAGAAAAGTATGATTGTCATATGGAACAAGTGGACAAGACAATGTCTTCAACTTGCACACTACCTGCCCCCAAATAAAGAACTTCCTTGGCGCTCCAATGGCGCAGTCGGTTAGCGGTGGTACTTATACAACAGTGTGGGCGAAGCAAAATAAAGAACTTCTCTTGAAACTGAAGCAACATACCCACAGTGTATTGAGTATGAGATGGTAGAAATGTAAGTGGAAAAACTTAAATAATATTTCCTTTTACCTGAATTAAGAAGATATTCCCTAAAATGGGAATAGGGAAATTTGGGTAAATCTGAATCTTCAGAACCACAAATCCTCTCAAATCTTTGAGTCCTTGCCAAATTTCCTAACTACCTATGGCAGAGAATTATACTTTTACATTTTACTTTTGAAATCACTCCTGTCCTGGGGCGCCTGGGTGGCTCAGTCGGTTAAGCATCCGGCTTCGGCTCAGGTCATGATCCCAGGGTCCTGGGCTTGAGCCCCTTCTCCCTCTCCCTCTCCCCCCACCCCCACTTGTGATCTCTCTCTTTCTCTCTCTGTCAAATAAATAAAATCTTTAAAAAAAAGATATCACTCCTGTCCAAAGATATTTGTAACATCTACAACAAAATATTAGTATCCAGAATACATATGTCCCTAAATAATTGAAAATACAATAGAAAAATGGACAATGAAAACGTCAGGCAATTCAAAGGAGAGAAAACCTGAGTGGTCAATGAATGAAAGAGAAGATGGTCAAATTCACTAGTCTGAAGAGCAATGCATATTAAAACAAGACAAAATTTTTCCACTCGCCATCTTGGCAAACTTTCAAGTCTTACAACAAGTGCCAAGGAGAAGAAAGGGAAAGAACTTTTAACCTCTCATCCCTTGCCATTGGGAATGGACACTGGTTCAATTACTTTGGAGAGTAATTTAGCAGCATCTAGTAAAATTGAAAATTAGTACAGCAACTCCATTTCAAATGTATACACTATGGAAAATTTCACTCAGGTCTATAAAGTGGAACATAAAACAGTGTTTATTGCATGATTATTTAGAACAGAACAAATTGGAAGTAGTTCAAATGCCTGTCAATGAGGAAAATGGATAAATAAAATGTTGTATATTCATATGACAGAATAATATTTAGCATTTAAGAGTAATAAACCTGATCTAGGTATCTCAACTTGAATAGGTCTAAAATTTTAACACAGTGAAAATACAAGTTGCAAAATGATAAATATGGTATAATATTTATATATATGTAGTTCTTTGACATCATGTTTGTATGGAAACATCTAAAAATTATACAACTTAAACACTAAATTCATGAAAATGGTTTTCTCTGCCAGAAGGCAGAGTAATAGGACTGGGGCTAACAGAGTGGGAGGAGCTTCAATTATATATATATAAGATTTATTTATTTTAAGACAAGGCTTAGAAACAAATATATCAAATATTAGAAAATATAAATTCTGTCCCTTGCCAGTGGCAAAGTAATTACATGTGTTCATTATTTTTCAACTTTTCTACATTTTTGAAATTTCTCAAAATTAAACAAAAAAAAAAACAGAAAAAAACAAGGTTCCTGTGTTCTCTCTGATCCATACCATCCTATATTGATATGAACCCATAATGAGAGGAAATTTCTTCAAACAGCTTCCCAATACTCACACAACATGGATTGAGGCCATTTATGGTTGGCTTTTTTGCAATGAAATATCCCATTTCTGTTTTTTCTAAAGCTGCTAAGTGTGACAATAGATTGGAAAAAGCTGTTAAATAATAGTAAATATGTACCCCCTTCACACCAAGGCTTGAAATGATCATGCCAGCCTGGTAAGTCCTTCCGCCTAAGATTTGTCAAAGCATACTGAAGGTCTGTATCCTCTTTCCCTACTCACAATTGGAGAGCTGCTGATAATTTTTTAAACTCACATCAATAATGATAATAGTCACTAATATACTGTACACTGCAATTTCCATAATGCAGGAAGGAAGGAGAACTTTGGCAACCTCACTGGAAAAGAGTCAATGGGAGTATAGCACACTCCATGAGAGACTTGCAAAGTGAGAATTTCACTCAGTGGTTGCAGAAAACAAATGTCTTCAGATGAGTATGTAAAATTCAAGTCCCTTCCCATTGGGTGCATTCCATGGAAACCTGCATTCCAATGGGTATTTCTGAACATCATGGATGCCCTGAAGGAATATGATACAGACCACAGGAGGACTGATTTGGCAGGTTTCAAAACAAGAAGAGGGCAGCTACAAAATTGTTTAATAGACATAAATCTCCTACTATTTTTCACAAAATACCATCTAAGACCACATCTCTACAACTCATTCCCCATTACTCAGCTCAAGTGGAGCGCTTTGGCATGCTCACTCACCCTTAAATCATACACAGCATAAAGTGATCCTGGGTCTCGGAAATTTGTCAGCCTCCTTCAAGTAAAAGCAATCTTCACTTTTCATCACAATTCATTCCCTGAAACTGTGGTATAAAGCTGACTCTTCTAAAAACATTTATTTTCTTTCATAAGAAAAAGCATCACTCAGTTAGTTATCAAGTATTTAATAACCACCTACTACATGCCAAGCCCTGTGCTGAGAATACCAAGAAAAATAAAATGAAGGTTTTGGTTGCATTCCTGACTCATCAAAAAAAAAAGATAACCATGATTAATACTGGTTATTAAGAGTCACCGACTGGTAGCATGACCCCCATACTGTGTATTATTACAGAAATTTGTCCCTGATCTCTATTATGACACATGAACACATGGAACAGTGATTATG